TTTGAACAAAGTCAATGAAGATATGTTCGAGCTTTTTAAACTGTTTAAAAAATACTTATTCTGAAATCTACACTTTAGTGATCAACTTACCCTAAATTGTTGCACAGCTTCCGGATTATCTCTAAGTAAAAGCAGTTCTTCGGCACAGCACAACATTATCGTGTCCACAGTCATTTCGTACACGGACAGAAAACAATTTGCAATTTGGTATGAGCACAGAAACATGATCAACAACGGAAACCACGGATGCGATAGCGTTGGCCACAACTATCGAAAAAAAGAAAAATTTAAAAATTAATTTCTAACAAAAAATATCGTTACCTCTTCCATACGGAAAAATGCACATAACGTTGTTGCACCAGCTACCAGACACTTGGTTAGGAACAGCACCAAATCTCCCACAGTATTTACCGTCGCCACATCGATTGCGTTATCCAATAGATGATTTACTGCCTAACGCAAATATTATGAACTTATCTCCTATCGTCGCACATCGAAAGTACTAACCATTTTTGCCGCGGGACAGAAACTAAGGCCTGAGTAGGAGATTACAGTGTAGACATTGTAGTTTATGTATCGTAAACACTTCTCTATGCATCCTAGCATAGCCACAAAGATGACAAGGAGTTTCTTTACCACGACATTTTCAACAGACCGCATTCTGTAAACAAATACGACGTAAATCTATCTAAAGTAATTAATGACGTGAAGTTCAGACCTGGCCAGAGTCCAAATTACAATATATCGGGGTACTCTCACTAGTGTTATTATGAACGATCCCAGTGCTGCTGATCCTAAATGGTAACGAACGAGACTCCACAATGAGCACATCACTGGCGATCTGGGTGTGGGCGCTGCAAATCTACGAGATGGTGACAGCCTGAAGTTTATACACATAAGACTGCAAAGAGACGAAGTACTAACTTGGATAAATTGGAAGGTCAAATAGGGACTTACACATCAAAGTAGTACATGCTCACAGCTCCAGCAATAAACAGCCGCTGGCAAGCCATTAAGAACTCCGACACCCAGATGAAACCAACAAATTGATAGAACATCATCATCCTGTGCAAAGAAGACCATCCACTATGGAGTACATAAGAGCCTTAATAGAAGCACCCGCATGAGATTCCTCCCGCCACCCCC